AGGAAATAAGTTTGGTCTCCAACGTTACTTAAAGAGGTTTAATTGTTTTCGCAAAGCTGAGTGACGAGCTTGTTTTTTTCCACTGCTCACGTACCTACAGAACAAATAGGAATGATGGAGTTAAATAAAGAAGTTCAGATCAAGCGCTTTGTCAAGTAGCTTAGGGTCATTTATTATAGCTTGTTAATTACTATAATTATTATTATTATAGTTATTATAATAAATGAGATTATAAAAACAGACGTATGAAAAGTGTAGGGAGATGAAGAAGGTGAAGAGCAACAAGTTCTGTAATAACTGGTGAGAAAAACCTCATTCTTCCTCAATGTCAATCCAAGCTTCTCTCTGTCTCTTTTTAGAAAGACAAGCATCGACATTAATATCAATCCAGACTCCCAGAAGACCTTGCTGTCGTACCGGTGCATTGGCACTGCTGAAGGTGGCCCCCCCTCCACTGATCCTGGGTAAGTTTACTCTTTACTCCTTAGCAACAGCCACTCCATCTTTCTTGATCCTTCATGTGATGTCACAATTCTTAACAGTGACCTCCTAATTCTATCACCTTTGGATTTTGTTTGAAAAATCACATTGAATGTTTAGAAAAACACATTACTGCAGCTTTTAGATTCATTAGGGTGAGGGTTTTGGGGTCGGGATGGGCGTTTTGGGGTCGGGGGGGTAATACAGTGTTGTTACTGTCAGTTCTCCATTGACTTAGTTACAGCCTAGACTCTGTAGGATCCAGACGGAGGTCATAGTTCTGGTCCTAATGCTAAGCTAGCGAAACCGCTGTTAACTGCAACTCGTGTGCATCTGGTGGAGAGCACACGCTGCCAGCAGGTTTTCCAGCCTTTCCGGTCCTGTTCCTCCCCAGGCGGAGCACATTGATGACATCAGCTAGTGTGAAAGTAGCCATTAGTTCCACCTCATCACTGTGGGACAAATATAGCAGCGCGGGGCTTTCATCAAACATGGGGGACAGCTGTAGTGAGTGGGTGGGCGAAGAAACCTGGCCAGATGATGATACACATTTTCCTCATCCCTCCTGCTCTCACCTCACCCACTCCCTTGCGACCAAACTGTCACCTCCTGAGAATGATAACACCTTTGGGCTGCAGCATATAGGCACATATGTGCTGCACACACATACACACACACACACACACACACACACAAAGAGGTTAACTAATCTTACATCACACTACGTTCTTTGCACAAAAGCTTGAACCATTTTCGCATGTGAATCAATAAGGTTCAGTGAGTGGTTGAATGACAAGTGGCTGTTTTATAATACCTGTATTATGAACAGCACGGCAGCCACGGCACTCAGCAGCACTGATTCAAAACTGTACAACAGCAGCACAAGGAAAAGAACTTTCTACTGCTCTTCGTCTCCATCACTCATTATTCCTCACCCTGAACCTAGGCTCTTGTTTTCCCTCACCCATTTCTCCCCCTTGTTTACCAGAAGCATAATTTCTACGGCAGATTACAACATTTACGGACTTATCTTATCTCCCTAAGTGGTGTGGGGATTATTTTTGTGGTTGCACGGAAATAATAAACTGGAAGAGATTAAGTTTTCATGGATCGAGGATTTTTTGTATTGAGATTGTCGTATTTTTATTGGCATTACAATACAATTACGTCACACACATCATGTACTGTAGTGATGCAGTACATGATGCGAGTAACCTGCCATACATATAGTTTAGTCTGTGACAACTAAGTTGTTATAACAACTTACCACGTTCCAGCTCTTACTTTTTTTATATTAAACAAAAATAAATTAAGCAATAATAACTAACATCTGTATTATTTTGTATTGAACATTGAACAAAAATATTTTGTTCAAATTTTAGTTCTTATGTTCAGTGCCTTAATCAGTCAAGCTTCAGCTTATGTCTCTGACCTCTTAGGAACTTAGTAGTCCAGAGTCTGCGGTCAAAAGGTCAGAGGCTGTTAGAAGTGCCAAGAACTGGAGCTCTGAGCATCTGGAACACACTAGTGTCCTCTTTACGCAGCCTTCAATCTGTGGAACCGTTTAAAAAACAACTCAAGTCCCTTCTATTGGAACAGCCTATTAATTAGACTTAGTTCAAATGTTTTATATTTCTCTGTTTGAATGTCTCCTCCAAAGTCTTTTCTGTGTTTTAGATTGTTTAATGATTTTTACTTGTACGTGTTTTGTTTGGGTATTTTCTGGGATTTTTATATATATATATATATATATATATATATATTTGCAAACAGAGCTTTATTATAACCTTAATTCTTTAATTTCCCAAAGGGAACTCCTAAGGGATTAATACAGTTCTATCTGTCTATCTATCCATCTATCCAGCCATCCATCCATTTTTATGTGATGGAGTCTTGTAGTGAGTGTTGAGAAGCAGAGGTGATAGTTGGCTGTCTCTTTGTCGACATGTGTCTGTGTCAAAGTTAGGAACATTCTGCATGTTCCCTGTCATGGAAGTGACTGAAGTGGTCAGTTGGTTTCCTGTTATACTGTTATACTCCATAACAAGGGGAAAAATCTCTCCCAGTGAACGCTGAAAAAAGAAAAACCCCTGCATGAATACCTTTAATACAGTTATGACAATTGTGTGGTTACTGAGCGCTGGGGTCAGACCGAACACATGTCCCTGGAATTTAGCTGTCGCTTATTGTGGAATGAAACAGTTCGTAGAGATGAATGTTGAATAATTCATGAGAACAAGCTATTATTGACGGTTAAAGGATGAATATGCAGGAACTGGTGCTGGGAAAAAAAAATCAGCCCATGACAGAAACTTCAGCAGATAATATCAGTGTGCTTAAAATACAAATTTGAAAACATTACCACGCTACTCTTGAATAATTTTAAAATTGCATTGTTGAGGGAAATCAGTGACCTGGTGAATAATAGAACGTGCTTGCCATCATAAGAATACTGGTTTACATAAAATGCATAAGACAAAGTCAGTTGTGTGTACAATATATGAACATATTAATGCTGAAAACATTGATGCGTTAATTGCTCAAATTAATGTGAGAAACGTTATAATGTGTTTAACGCATGGGCAGAGTGATGCGGGCCGCATATCCCAGAATTCCACTGTCCATTCGGTTATCAATGCTCTAATACACAATTATTGGCATGTCATGTGGACACCCTGAGGGAAAAAAAATTAATCCCACCAAAGCATCTCGAGCTTAAATACAATCTCGACTCCCAGCATGCCTTTGTGGAAGCTTAAAGTTGAGGTTAAATGCGCAGCTAGCATCCTAGCAACTGTTAGGTGTATTGCGAGGAACTGTAGAGCAGATAACAGCTTCACCAGATTTCAATGTAGACTTAATTTGATTAATCATGATTTAACGTGATGGGTTACAATAAAAATTAAATGTGATTAATTCACAGCTACCTTTAATTAATTTGTCTTATGTTATGTTTTTTTATCAATGATAACTAGTGCCTATAAATTTTAATTTTAATCTTTATTTCATTTTTCATTTGCAGCATCCGCGCTGACAAATAAACAGCCAGTTCTAACAGCCCATTAAAAAGACTGAGGGCATTACTTTTGACTGAGTGAGTTTTTCTCACACTTGCCAAAAATTTTAGAAACCTGTGACTTGGAAATAGAACTTGAAAACAACCTGCTTTCTGCTTCTTCTTTTTTTTTTTGCCCTTTTTCTAACAAGAGAAGGCAAATCTCTCAGAGGCATGGCTGCATGTCTTTAACCATCCTTAAATAACCGGCTTAAAGATTCCCAATCACAGCAAAAAACATGAGAAATAAAACACAATTGGAGTAGACTCTTCAGCCTTGACATATAAAGACTTGTGAGGGTCTGTTTGCATTTCAGAGCCACCCAGGTGCCTTTTGTTAACCTGTAGTGTACTTGATGCTGAGATGAAGAGGTGTCATATTTGGAGCTACTTAACCATGCACTAGTTTGTTGTGTGTTCAAAGACGTGCTTCAAACGAGCGGGGCTTATTAAGTCAAGTCAAGTTGCCAGGACACCTGTAGATTAGTGATGAAATGATTCCTCTAAAATATTGTTTGTGCCACAAATAGTTCCTCCAGTCGCTGGTGAGACGCCGCTCTCCTCACATCTCTCCTGTTTTGAACATTTAAACATCAAACAAGTGCAGAGGATTGTCTCATGTTAACCACGAAAATCAGAACAAATTTGTGCATTTCTTGATTATCTGTTGCTGTGCGAGGCTGACATCTCAATTAGAATGGGGCTGCTTGTTACCTGTGTCATAAATAATGAAGATGCACCTGTTGCATCCAGTCCAGGTTTGTTGTACGTACACTTCCGTACTGACTTTCATCCCTCCGTACACCAAGCTCATTTCCTGAACGCTGTGTCTTTGTAAATGTTGCAATCTACCTGAAATGTGCCTGTGAAGAGTGGGGGAATAAAACAGGATTAAATATAACCTGCTGATCCCAAAAGGCTCAACAGGTGTCAAGTGCAATAGGCAGAACAGGAGACGGCACCTGACGACAGCTCCAGTGCTCCCCATTGGCACGATTAAAAAGGAAACACGTCCCAGTGAGGCGGAGTGAGGCTCTGAAGATGAGATCAATGGAGCATATTTAAAAGACATTACAGAGTAGTCCTCCTGTCACACTCCTGTAATAAAGTACAGGAATCCAGCCTTGTAGCATACGCTGCTGTCTCCATGACAGTGAGACTCCGGCTCTGCTCCTGAGCCAAGTCTTCATGTGAGGATGAAGGATGACCAGCGGCGTGTCCATCTGTGTGTTACAGTGGACTCTAGGTCGTCTGACCAGACACCGGGCTTTCACCAGTTCTCCGGAAGACGCCGCGGGGAGAGGAGAAGGGAGAATGGAAAGCTGCCGGTCCTGGTGTCCCTCATTCACTTTCTAACTTATTCACATTAAAGAGCGCTCTAATCACTGCGGGGACTTGGCCAATGATGTGCTTATCAAACAGCATATTTCAAAAAGGCATCTTAAAAGGCCCGAGGGCGAAGAGGCAATAAGAGCACATTTGTATGTGGATGAAAGAGAAAAGAGTAGACAGACCTTGCATCAGAATACAGAGGGGGGGGATCATTAGCATCTCCTGTAGAATATGCACAAGCAGAGAGAGAGAGGGGAGAGAGGGATGGGGATGGAGAGCTGAGGGAGAAAGAATAGTTCTTTTTGCCATTTGTCCTTTTTTGCTTCACACAGTTCCCAAAAAGAATAAGAGAACAAATACATTTTTGAACAAAGGCAGGGCTCTTGATGTTGAAACCCATTGGGGCCTTGAGGTGGCTCCACTGTGGTTACTGCGCTGTAGCTACACTCCCATCTCCTATCTCGCTCCTCTCTCTCTGTCTGTGTGTCTCTCGTCCTGAAACAGAACAGGCCCTGTGCTTTGATATGTGACGACCAGACTGGATTCGCAGGATGTGATGAGCAGCACAGTTGTTTCGTAGCCAGACTAAAATTGAAACAGTACGATGACTCAACCAATGACCAGCACAAATAAACACGGACTGGAGGTCATGTGGTCTGCTCTCAAATCTGAAAGTTAAGGCGAAATTTCTATGAAAAAAATTTGCTTCCACATCACTAGAAAGTTATGGTGTATTATTTTTTTTTTTTTTTTTACAAAGATGTGCACACAAACCCTAACAGCTCATCAACCCTAATTTAGAAAGTCAATTTGGGACCAGGAGACCAATTATCCTAATTAATTTTGCCTTTCCCTGCATCACTCGCTTCCACTTGTTAAGATGCGTCCTATTTTAGCTGTGTTTGCATTTGTGTGCGTATTTTGGTTTGTGCGTTTCACAACACAAAATTACGGCAAAGCATTGAGTGAAAAACCTTAGCAGGGCTCCTGTCTGCATGGGCTAAAATACCGAGCGGTTTTATTTTTGCACTCAAACATGTCGCAAGAATTCCTTGCCTAGGGAACAGTAACAGATGAATAATGATTATGCGACGAAGCTGTTATTATATTCTGCTTAAAAAACCAAAAAGAAACAGCGTTTAAACCTTCAGGGCCAGTCTGTTCAGCTGCATCCGTGCAACAATTCAGCCTAACCTGCACGGATTATTGCCCAATTGTGTGTTACAGCTCATTCACTAGGAGGTGACAGCACCTCACCGCACACATTTATGGAAAAGAGGGTAATTAGGGTGTGATGGATTTCACCAGCACGCTGTGAAAATAACCAGGTGCATGTCTAAGAACCATCGGCTTGAACGATCCTTCTAGAAATGTTCTCTCCTACAGCGTCCACAAGAGAACAAATACATTTGCTCCTTTGGTTTAAGGGTGTAATGGTTAAAAGGACGGCCACTCGGCAGTGACGACCAGTGTGTATCACACAATCCAAAATGAATAAAATAGGAATATAGACGAGCCTAGAATCTTCAAGAGCATGTAGAAGCCAGATAAGGATTTTTCATTTCTGGTGTCTATAGGCATGAGACATGCTAAAGTGTTATCATTATTACAGGCTTCTGTGGCAGCGCGGTGATTAAAATTGGAGCGATTTCATTAGATTATACTTCACATTAAAGGACAGCTCTCTGTGATGTAAAAGCCAAGTTCAAATCTGTTAATAATCTGTGTGCAATTATGAGATAATAAAATCCGATGTTCATGTGCGATGGCTCTTCACGGCTACGCCAGGGAGGAAAGTGCTGCAGTGTCAGAAACACACACACACGCTCAAGTACGAAAACAGATATGTACATATATATTTATATTTTTATTTATATTTCATTTTTGGGAGGATATCTTGTACACCAAATATCCCACTGGCAGTTAAGCGCATTCAATGTGTTTAGAAGCCAGAAACAGTCACTTGTTTAAACAAACACAAATACAAAATAAGATAACCACAAAATAATGAACTGCATGTATATAACATACAAAAGAATCCCATGCCTACTCAGTAGGTAACTTCAACATTCCAGCTCTCGAAGATGTGGATATTTACATTTCAGTTTTACAAAAATAGACTTTATACTCTTTCTCCTTCTTCTTTTTTTTTTTTTTTTTGTTTGCTTACATTCTAATGAAATGAAGCGGTGCCCTCAGAGCATGTCCCTTGTCCTCCCTCTAAGCATGACTTACATTCTGTAACAAAAATATTCCCTCTTCCTAAGGCGAGATGCAGCGCATCCTCTCTCCCTCCCTCGCTTGCTCGCTTGCTCGCAGCCGAGTCACAACACCAGCAAGGCTTCACGAAAGGCACCAAATAACGGGAGCATTTGTTTTGTTTTATGTGGTGGTTTTTTGTTAAACTTTTTTTTTTCTTTTCTCTGTTTTTCCATATAACTGGTCGATATGTCACATGTGAGAAAGAGAGAAAGGGATAGTACCGGAGAATGATATTTACAAACAGAAAGTAACATCACTCTTACTCATGCTTGAATACTTAAGTGCTTTTTTTTTCTCCAAACAATGTCAAAACGTATCACAGCATCATCACGACATAATAGAGAAAGAATGTAGAAAATATGGCCCTGCTCACTTCAAATAATACAATGCAAATATGCAAATCATTTTTCACATCAGTGGTACCGAGGAATGATAAAAACAAAACATGGCACATGTACAATATACATTTACGTAGCTTATGTATATTATTCAATGTCTTTTGAACTGTTTGAGTGCCTGCGAGGACGACCGTGCCTGAGCACCACAACTGCTGCCGATCTGTTTGTTCCTTGGTGGAGTCCCGTATGCATTTGAAGTTCTCTAGTTCTTTTACAGAGCCAAAAAAAAATTATCCCTTTTTGACTTTTAATGTCTTTGCCCAGTCCTTGACATCAGTCTTTTTCTCCCTTTCAGGTAAATCTCAAGGTTTGCCTAACACTGCACAGGGAGCAGAGAGAAAAGTGCTTTCTGCAGGGGGAAACAAAGTCTTTTGATGCTGATTTCTTTTCCCCCTCTCAAAGAACCCTAAGGAAGAGAGGAGGTGCAGAAGGTCTGAAAAAGTTTTTTTTTCTCTCTTTGCTCTTCCTTAGCAGATTTCGATTGTCCTTGGAGACAGCGTGGTCTGCATGTCTGATAGGGGGGTGGGTATAGGGGAGTTATAGATGTTGGAAGCGACTGAGGAGGGGAACGAGGAAGCGACCTGGGACTGGAAAGTGCTGGACATGGACACTGAGGGGTAGGTGGTAGCTATGGACGGAGAGGGGTAAGATGTGTGGACAGGAGAGGAGTAGCACGAGGTGACTGGAGATGGGTAAGAAGACACTGGAGAGGGGTAGGAGGCCATGGGAGAGGGGTAGCTGGAGGGAGTGGAGGCAGCTTGTACTGATGCTGCTGTCACCACGGCTGCAGCTCCCGCCTTCTCTGCCTTCTTTTCCTTCTGCCGCAGGTGGATCTTTGTGTGCCTCTTCCTCTCGTCGCTGCGGGCGAACTTACGTCCGCAGATCTCACAGGCGAACGGCTTCTCACCGGTGTGAGTGCGAATGTGCGTTGTCAAGTGGTCGCTGCGGCTGAAGTTGCGCATGCAGATACGACACTGGAAGGGTTTCTGACCTGTGTGGATGCGAATATGACGTGTCAGCTCATCAGAGCGGGAGAAGCGTCGGTCGCAGGTCTCCACAGGGCAGGCGTAGGGTCGCTCGTGTGGGGGCGTCTTGCTCGGCCTGGGGGGGTATTTGCGCATGCGGCTGGGTTTAATCAGCTGAGACTGGTACACGCTCTTTAAGTCCTGGGAACCAGTCTGGGTGGCGAAGGCCTTAATGGTGGACAGAGGGGTGAGGGAGGGTTGGCTGGATTGACTCTGGAAGGGCTTCTGGTCGGGAGGCACCAGGCTGATCTCCCCCTGCTGCTGAGGAAACAGGTAGTCTGGAATCATGGGCACAGGGAAGCTTGTGGTGGTCTTCCCGTTTGGGTAGGCGGGAGGAGGGTACTGCACTGCTCCACCTGCACCGAATGCCTGGCTCTGATCTGGGAAGATGTCAGAGTTAGGACTGGAGTAAGTTGGGGCAGCTGAGTAAATGGGGTTGGGCTCGCTGTGGTGAATGGAGGAACTGAGGCTGGAGGTCTGAGATGCAGAAGAGGTAGAAGAGGTGGACGAGGACGACGCTGACGAAGAGGAGGAAGAAGTTGTTTGCGAGGCAATGGAGGAAGTGCTGGAGCTGGGGGCAACATTGCCCATCAGGCCGGTGAAAAGACCCAAGATTGGCTCTGCCCACAGGCTGTTGCTGCAGGTGGTGGCGGGCTCCAGGGTGAAACGGCCTGTGTAGGAGATAGGGGGCAGCCTCTGGGTGGAGTAGGTCTGCTCGGACACGGGTTTGTCATTGTTGAAGGAGATATCAGGTAGCGTATCTGCAGGAAGCACATAGAGAAGAGAGACATTAATCAACCTGTCAATGTTCAGGGAGAGAGGGGGGGATTCCTGCTACAGCTGTGGGCAGTGTGTCACCCCTCTCTGCTCTAACAGATCCCGGCACAGATACCCACGTTTTGTAACCCCCTCAAACTGCACTCTTTTCCTCTCAACTCTGAAACTTTTAAACCTCAACCTGGGCACTGCAAGCTTCCTGCGTTTCCCTTTTTCTCACTCTCTCTCCTTTTTTTTCCCACTCCTTCGGTCTTCTCTTCCTCTCTTGCGCACATTCGCAAGCGCACATTCTTGAAGCCCATCACTGAGCCTGAGGCAATTGATTACTGAAACTGCAGTTCAGCTGGTTTTAGGAATGCAATTTGAATTGAGCTGAAGGAGTGTCTGGAGGCATGTGGTGACTGAGTGGTTTATACAAGCAGCGAGTGTCAAGGACAGTGAACGATCAATATACGAATCAGGTCAAATTTTATTGTGTTTGGTCAAATTATTTTCATGTTTAATTTATTACTGTTAATAGATTAAATATATTGGAACTGCCAAAATATAAAAGTATATTAATGCAGATCATCATTTTCTCTTCTTTTGTGCAACTCAGCAGATGTAAGGCTTAGTTAAAAAAAAAGATAAGGAAAAAAAACCGCTGTCTTACCTCCAGTAAGGTGGTCATACTGATCTCCTGGCTCCCCGGAGCCAAAGCCAGCACCTTCGGGTGCGGAGGCAGGGAGGAAGGGTGTCCCTGCAGTCAGCATCATCACCTCCTCCAGCTTAGGATAGTTATCCATGGGGGAGTGAGGGAAGCTCAGAGGCTCTGAGATCTGCAGGGTTGGGAGGATCATCTCAGTCTTGGCTGCAGCCATCCTCTGCTGGAGCTACAGTGCTGAGGCTGCGCTGGAAGGAGCTGAAGAGAGCAGGCAGGCTGGGTATAGAGCTGCGCCTCGCAGGTGGAGTGTGGGAATCACACTCCGCTTCGCTCTTCTGCAGATGTCGAGGAAGATGCTCGCTCCTTTGACTCTGCTGCTCCAGTAACTCCTGTTGTTTCCAGTCTTGTCTTTCGGAGATGAGTAAAGATCCACTTGTCTTTTTCATAAAAAAATCAAAAGTGTCCCTTTGCACTCATTCCCTAACATTCATGAAAATTAATCATAAAGATTAATCTTCTTCTTTTTTATATTAAAAAAGAAATCTCATCCAATCAGGTTCTGACCTTCTTGGATAGAGTTTGTTTTGAATTGACTTTGTAACTTTTGGTTGTGATATTTCTCTGTCAGGGAAGTGAGTGTCTTTCTATGTCTGTCTCTGCTCTAGTTGCTTTATGGCTCTCAGGGCTCTCTCTGAGCTGAGAGGTTTCCCCGCTCGATTTATACCCTCTTGCCGTGACGTAGATATCCATATTTGGAGAGGAGGAAGCCCATATTTAGACACTGCAGTGGAGGACACATGACGCTGGGCAGGGAGAGAGAGAGACGGAGCGAGACTTTATATTAAACCGTAGCAGTAAATTGCGCAGGCTACAGTGCTCTACCTCTGTCCAGAATCAATGTGTCTCCATGGCAGAGCAGGGCAGTGAGACAGCGGTGTAATTTTCGCCTTCTCTCGCTCGCTCCGTACATTTAATTCGGGTTTCCCATCTGTGCAGCAGGCTGCGCTGCTGCCGGAAAGCTGCGCTCCGCCGTGCCTTATAAGGTCGTGACTACATAAGGACCTATTCCGGTGGGTTTCCATTTCCCTGTCCTTCCCTGCCCTTATTTGGAGTTTCCTGAAGCAGCGCTGATCGCTGAGCGCTTGGCAGTGAATGAGAGACAAATCATGTCCAGCGCTCAAACAGCACAAACCCGCTGCTCCCCGTGTGTGTCTGTGTGTGTGTGTGTGTCTGTGTGTGTGTGTGTGTCTGTGTGTGTGTGCGCGTGTGTGTCTGTGTGTGTGTGTGTGTCTGTGTGTGTGTGTGTGTCTGTGTGTGTGTGTGTGTCTGTGTGTGTGTGTGTGTGTGGGTGTGTGTGTGTGTGTGGGTGTGTGTGTGTGTGTGGGTGTGTGTGTGTGTGTGGGTGTGTGTGTGTGTGTGTGTGCGCCAGTGAAGGCGCGCAGCCATTACACTCAGGGCCGAGTCAAAGTGTTTTCTTCTCTGACAGAGCATATGTTTTTTAAACCACAAATGCAACCATCATAAGTCTGTGACAAAGTAACACGTGACAGGACTTTAAAGAGTTGTTTAATTTTTATTTTAAGTAGAATTATGCAGGAAGTTATTTATTTAAAAACATTAATATACTATTTAGGATTAATGCACTGTGTCTGAGTGGTCAATGCTCTTGCCTTACAATTGAAAAATCACTGGTTTGATCCCCAGTGTTTGCCACTGAGTTTAAATATTATTTTTGTGTGTTCATAGTATTTCTCCAGGTAGTACAGTCCACCAGCAGGATTAGGGCAAATGACTGGTGACCTGTCCAGGGTGTAGCTCACCCTCACCGAGTGATTGTTTGGATTTCCTCCAGCCAACCCTCTGAAAAGTATACGAAATGTGATGGTGGAGGAATTAATGTTCTGAAGATTCATAGACTTAGTTCTTATTAGTGCTTTACAAATGACAGGAGTGTACCAAGGTGAAATATATAATAATTTTGGCAGCAATGGACCCAGTAGGTGGCAATAATGGAAGTTTAAGGATGTAGTTGAGTTATTATCAACGGACAGAGAAAGAAACAAGACAGTGGGCTTTTGTACTGCCCCTTTACAGCATTTAAATTTCTAATTTGAGCTTTTCTAAAGAATGTTCTTTCAAAAAAAAGAATGTTTTTTATTACGTCTTCCAGTCCAGCAGTTTACAATAAAATAATGCACTCAAAACTTTCTGAAAATATGCTCTAAATTATTATTACTAGAAAAATACAACAGTAGCAGAAAATAATGGGATTCAAGAATTTATTTTTTTATTCTACTGTATGAAATCAACACTTGTTGATGTCTCTTCACTTTACCTGGATCATCACAATGTGATGTTTATTGTCAGAAAATAGTGATTCAGCACTTTAAGTATTATTGCGTCCATTTGTCTAGACTCCAGTTGGCCGCTGAGCCGACAAACAGATGCTTCACATCACTTAACCATGGTGCTGGAAATGATCCAATATCAACCAGAAAAAAATGTGAATCCCTGTTTTTATTTTTTATCAGAGAGCCCTGGTGAGGAGGAGAAGATCAGGCCTTGTCCCTTATTCATAAAATAGTTAATGATGGAGTTTTTTTGGCTTCTAAAAAAAACGTATATGAAAAAAAGCAACTAAACTTTTCCTCTGATTTAATTTAGTAAATTTTTGGCCAAGTTGTTGAGCGAGTTGAGCGACCGAGTGTTTGTGCTTGCAGTCAATTTTTCAGTCTGTCTCAAGTGCTTTTCCAAGAAAGCACTGTCAGTGTTGATGATGTGCCAATAACTCATACAACCACGACCCAGAACATTAACACTCAAACAACCACTAACCAAGTTATTAAGTTGACCTGAAATGAAAGGTATGACGGAGGGTTACATGTATTTATAATATTATAAATACATGTACAGTACCTTTCTTACCTTTCAGTTTCTAAGAGTACGTGTTTTGTAAGTTGTGATGATTTGTCAAAAAGAAGTCAGTTCACAGGGAAAAAAATAGGGAAATGGGGGCTGGGTCTTTTTGTCCCATGGTGCTAAATAAGCCAGGACCGCCACTGACAGCAGTGATCAAAGTCTAGGAGGCGATGAGATTAAAAATGTACGACCGTGCAAACTCCTGCTGGCTCCCGGGTTCCAAACTTCTTAAATTAACTTTCCGCACTTCTCCTGGCTGTGTCAGTGATTAATGAGAGCACAGAGCCGCGGATGCTGACAAAGTGCGAGCCGATCCGTCTAATTGAGGGGTGTCCCCAGCTCAATATTCGGGGGATCTCTGTGCCACTCAGCGGCCTAATGGGCCGCATTAACAAGGCCGCGCACAGCTGCGCAACGCCGATGTTCTCTCTGGCTGAACCAGTGGCCGCCGGTGCGCTAGCACTGCTCCGTGGATGCTGACTGGAAATCAATGTGTTTCCCCTCGGTGCTGAACGGATCTATAGGCAAGCAGGCTCATTGGGAAACATCGAAGGCACGCAGGACATTGAGGGAGAGAGGAGAGAGGGAGACAGAGTTAAAAGAGATAGATGGGGGGAGAGAGAGCAGGTGAAACTCGAGGTCTCCTGACTTTAGTTATGTATTGTATGTATTTTAATAGTAACTAAACTAAAACAGTAACCTTTGCCCTTTGACTGCAGGGAGTAGTTAGCACTCCTGCTGGTTGTTAAAAATGTTTCCTTCAGGATGTGTAATTGTTCCCCCCTAAACTGACCACATATGTGCGTTTCAGGTGTATGTGGCCTAAGATGGAGGGGCATGTGGACTGTCCAGTGTAACCCCACCCTCTTCAAAGATTGGACCCAGGGATGATAACAACACTAAGAAGGACTAGAATTGGAACCACCTTAATCCATGTTTGGGTCCCAAACCACCCGTTGAGAAACACCAGAGAAAGACCTGAGGTTGGTTTTAATGTCTGTGTCGAATTGTTTTTCTTCTTACAGGCTTTTCCCATTCAGCCTGTGGCAAACCTCTCTCTGTTTACCCCCATTAGACTGATAGAAAAATTCTGTCATATATTATGGATGATCTGGAGCACAGGCACCTTCACAAAATCCAAATAAGCCTGAAGTCGCGGGCTCAGCTGGAGAATGTGTAATTCAGTTTATTCATACAATAAGATACATATAAATGATCCAATCTCATCACCTTTCCAGGCGTGTGGCACAGCACAGCGGTGTTGGACATATTACAGGGTGTAACGACGGGGACACTTTCAGAAGTTGTTGAATTTGTCTTTTTCTTCTTCACAAACTCAAATGTCACTTCTGTGTTGCCTTTAAAAAACAAAGCATCAAACAAGTCGACGGCAGTCTGTGATGATAGGGCGTATCATAACTGTGCTGATGTGGTGACACCAAATCCAAACCCCTGTCTGCATCCACTGCTGCTGTCATGCATCAGTTACTGTGGTCGATAAATTTGTGGCAAAGCAAAGAAGAACGAGCAGAGGGAGCGTGTGAGAGAACTCATCATTTGATGACAGTGTAATAAAATCAGGTTAGGGAAAACTCTCAGAAAAGTAATAAAGTAATAAAGATGATAAACAGTTCTCTGTGGCTGTTTGGGCCCTGCTTTCACGCTGATGCATGGAGGCGGTGGGAGCCGGATGCTTTAAGGGTAGGGGAAGGAGAATTAGTGTGTGTGTGTGCGCGCAGCACACTGTTCTGTGTTTGTGTGTGTGTGCATACACTCGGGTCAGGCAACTCATTCTCGGTGTGCTCCCTGGTGCTGCCTACTCACAGCAGTCAGAGGAGTCCTCGCCTGATCAAACTCCAGCACAATGCCAGACTGGGAGAACGACAGGCTCTCCCAGTACCTACGCAGCTGCCACGCCCCAGCTTTCTCTCACACACACACACACACTCGAGTACACGCACAAGCGCTAGTTAATATTTAATCATGCTCCAATCTGTCACGCAGTGAAGTGGCTGATTTAGATGGGGAAGCCAAAAAGTGTGAGGAGGAGGAGGAAGAGAGAGAGAGGAGGAGATGGAACAATGATATTAAACGAGAGATAGAAGCGGAGATTGAAAGAAATGTATAGAAAGGGAATAGAAGGAGGTAGGTTGCAGAAGTGACACGGAGAAGGCGAGAAGGAAGGGTGAGGGTGAGAGGGAAAAATAGAAAGTGGAAAGACCAAGAGTGAATCCTCACACCCACGTGCTGTACGTAGGAGCCAGTACCAGCTTTGTGCTGGCATTTCTCTGCACTGGGTGCCAAGCAGTCATGGAGACAGGGAAGCAGGCAGACGGAGACGTACCTTCTCCTCCGCCACACCTCTTCACCTCCTTGGCTGTCCACACCATCCGGTGATGCAATCCCTCACCATTAGCATACAGGTGGGCAGAGCCTATGATGGGCAGGCCAAGATTAGACGGTGGATGCTGACAGTTACCAAAGCCCGGGTGTTACATAATGTGGCACAGGATACAGGGATGGAGGGATGATAATAACATGACAGAGCTAGAGAAAGAGGGAAGACAATGCAGGTTATTTTGAAGCACAGAATGCAGCTGCCAAGTGGGATGCGGTGAGAGTGGTGGTGGTGCTGGGGGGGTGAGCGGTGGATTTTGAGATCTTACAAAATTAAATTTGCCCTGGAAGCGTTGAGGCCTGTACGACGCACAAGGAGTGTTTGTAATTAAATGTAAGAAGAGCAGAGGGCTGACGATCCCGGCCAGAGTGACAGGCTGAATATTAGCCCTTTGTCAGAGAGTGATGGGGCAGAGAACATGAGAGGATAAATGTCATCTTCCTCCAAGCTTTGTTGGTGAGTTCAGCAGAAGTATGCGGCCTGACCTTTTTACATGCAGAGTGAGATGTGTTTGGGGAAAGTCAAACTGGCACGACAGTGGTGGGGGTGAAAAAAAATCCATAGGAAACGTTGGGGAACCTGGCGGGGTAAAGGGGTCACAGAGAACCTCTGGACTAATTGGCATGCAGAGAAAAGCCAGATAAATCTAATGGGATCCTGGAAACTGACATCGATGAAGATATCCATTGGTGTGACAGTTGAAATACTAACTCTTAGAATAAGTGTTCCAGTCGTCATAACCCTGGGTTCACCTAATGAAATCTCTGTGGTATCACTTCAGGGCCTGGCAGTGGGTGGGCCTGATGTCTGTGACTGTAAGTGACTCAAAAAGCATTAGTAAAGCTGCAGAACTTCACACTCCTATAACTTAGAGTACAGTACTGGATATCCAACAGGGAATACCAGGATGTGGATTTCAGAATCTGTGGCTTTGTCCGTTTTCTATATATGGTCTATTGGTTGGCTGGACAATTGACAAATGACCTAAGGCAGAGCCAGAAAATCACTATGTTGAGTAACTTTTTGGCTGAAATGTTGTTCCATATTTTGCAGTGCAACAGATGTCATATATTTGCTGCTGCCGTGTAGGTCAGGTGACCAGTTTTACTATGTGGGTTCTGTCTGCGCCAGGATATTTCCATTACTAAATTATATGTCGCTTTTTGGTAATTTAACAGAACTTGGCATCGCATTTAAAGTGTTTTGGGAAAAAAAACCAATATGTGTATTTTATTGTTGGAATTATTATTCAGTGTAATAAGTCATGCTGCTTTGGGCAGACAAATGTTGCTTCTCCCATGAACATGTGACCATTAGGGCTGTCACTCTCCAGCCTCCCCGGCAACTCTTAGCCACCATCGTTCATATATGTACAGTAGTCTGTGGGTGACGCAACCTGAGCCTGAGGAACCATGATCCTCTGCTGCTGCGGTGAAAATTTCAAAAGTGAATGCTCTGGGTGATCTCTGTTCAGAGAAGTCCAGGAATGCAATTGTGGAATGCTGATCTTGTTTAAGCAGTATGTAATTATGCTCTGGGTAGGTTCATAAGTTTTCTTTCACAGCAGAGCTGACCCAGTAAAGCTGCAGGCACTGGTGATGTTGGGAAACCAAACTGCTGACACTTAGCAGTCACTGTAGCCATCCCTCCCTGTTCTGTTCCCACCGCAGGCTATGCAGTACGGCTGGTATTAGTGTATCACACAGAAACAGGAGCCTGGCATTGAATAGCCACTCTATCTGCTTATCTGGCTGTTGTTGCCTCCTGAAGGTGGTAGGTGACGAGGAGACAATTACTGAACACGCCACAAAGCCCAACCCAAAGCGACCCTGCTCTGTCCCTGAGGACGTGTGACTCACTGAGCCCCCGGACTGTTTGTTTGATGCTTGTGACAAAGGACCTGACCTCTGACCTTTTAGCTCTCCATGAGTCATCTGTAGCGCTTTGAAAAGTGGGGCTTCCCCTACACCAGGCTGCAGTCGCAGTGCAGCAGTTGGTAACATTTAAAGGTTGCCACAAAGCACTTTTCTGTGTTTGTCTGGTTTGTCTGTGGGCGTCAACTGACAACATGCTGACAAAACTGATGTTTTTCAGGTCATGCTAGTGCGCCTAGTGTACCACAATTCGAATATGATAAGTTCATTTAATAAACAGTCTGAGGGATAATTCGTTACCTTAGTAATTGTTGTTTATTTTAGTTTGTTTAAGTAGTTCACCTGTTGTGCTGTGACTCAAAGAACATACTTGGTATGGTACGTACGGTTAATTCATTTGTGAAAATTATCAGACATTTTGAAAGTAACTAGTGACGTGTTCTTCAGATCACCGTTATGATGCACAGTATTTACTGAAATCCACCAACTCTGTCGAGGTAAATTCTTTTTGACTGTTCAATTTTCTTCTTGACATTTCTCAACATTAATAACATCCTTTGGATTAGTCACAATTTCCAATAAACATACCAATTTATCTTCTTTTATGTTTAAGAATATTTATCTGCATTACTCAAGATTAAGTGTTATTAATTAATTGTAGATTGATTATGATAATTGTGACCCAGAGCTAAAAAAGAGTATTATTTAATTTTTTTTAAATTAATTTCTTTACTCAGGGTTAATGTTAAAGTACCGTATGACACCGGAATCGAAACCCCCCCCCCAAAAAAAACAACCTAAATCCAGCTAACTACAATCTTAGAAACTGTTCCTTTCATTTAAAGTTACTAGTAAATCAGCCTTATTCTCACACACCTAAGAACAAACTCATATTAATTTAGCTTTCAACCCGTCTGGATGTTGCACCTTATTGCACCAGGGCAGAGCTTTGTATTTTCTCATGGGCTGAGCCGACTAAATCCAACTGTTCTTTACAACACCGACGTTCATACGAGCGCAGACCGAGGCGGCGTGAAACCAAGAGTGACGGAGGCACAGAGTTGTGGCATCAGCATCCAGACTGAGCAACAACTGTCCCGCAGTCTTTAGCAAACACGTTAAGGCGTGACTCATGACATGGCAGACATGCCCTGGCAGACAGAAAACGTCCCATATCATAGACGTGCTTTTTATTTTAAGGCCGGAATTCAAACTTTGCTTTGGTCCACAGTCAGGTGGAGTCCTGCCAGTCCACACGTGTTTATGTGGGGGAGCAGCTTTACGCACTATGGGTTTGTTATTACATCAGACAGTCCTGCTGTCACCCCTACTCACTCCCAGGCCCCTGGTGTTTATTGAGAGAATGGCAAGAAATAGGATATAGTTTGGTTTTATTCTCTTTCCTCTGCGAAGAAAGAAGTATAAACACACCGTCCTGAGCTACTGAAAATTTAGTAAACTTACCCTGAAATCACCCGGTCTTTCAAAGGATGACCTGTCCAAACCTGGGGTTGTACAAACAGACAGATGCGCACACACACATATATAGATATACATATACATACACATACATCAGGCACAAACCTTTAAGTTGTTCCCAGGAGTTTATTTGAGTTTTGAGTCAGATCAAAAGTTGCCAGGACAAATAATCTCCTCGGGGTCTGCTGGCCAGAGCTGTTTCCAATAACTCTGCAAAGTGAAAATGACAGTCAGTGTGAGACACATGTGTTCAGGTGAAAGTTATTTGTTTGAGAGGTGAGAGGCGTGTTGATAAAAACGGCAAGGAACGATACAGAGGCAGATGAAGTGATGGAAAAGTCGAGCTCAGAAGTCAAAAGAGGCAGAGAGCGAAAGGGAAAGTGACTTTGGCTGGGTTGTTGACAGGTGGGCCTGGGGGCAGGTATGACAGGCAGGCTGACTCAGGTAAGCCCACCTTCCCCCAACGCTCCCCTGCCCTCCCCTCTGCCCCAGCTGGAGACTGCCAGTGTAAGGATAGCCTACAGGGATGAGCAGACAGGTCTCCATCAGAAAAGCCCTACAACTCTTTAC